GAGAGAGAGAGAAAGAGAGAGAAGACGGCTTGTGGAGCGATGACCGTAGGTCCGTAGGAACAGCGAGGCCAGCTTTTTAATGCTTGCAGCCTTGCACGTCTTCTCTCTCTCTCTCTCTCTCTCTCTCTCTCTCTCTCTCTCTCTCTCTCTCTCTCTCTCTCTCTCTCTCCACCAAGGAGTTAAAACCTTGGTGGAATCACAGATCAATAGAAAGAATACTGCCAATAAATCAAAATAGTAAATGAACAGACCTTAACAAGTTCTTTCTCTAATGATGGTGGAATCCACAGAAAGGCAACCTGCCAACCTGTGCGTTGAACGAAAAACAAATTGGCGTTTGGGAAAGAAAAAAAAAACAAAAAAAAACGAATTGGTTAAACTGGCGTTTTGTGGCCTTTAGTTCTGTGACTCAGGATTGGGAGCGAGGGTTTAGGGTAAAAGGGGCATGTTACTTTATTAAAAAAAAAGGGGGGCATGCTACAATTTTAAATGTAGGTGTCCCATTTAACTTAAATAGGATCTACTGTGGCAGTTATTTACAAAAAGGTGGTCCCGAAAAAGTGGTCCCACAAAAGTAGTGGTCCCAAAAAAGTCATCCCAAAAAAGTGGTCCCAAAAAAGTGGTCCCAAAAAAAGTGGTCCCAAAAAAGTGGTCCCCTTCCCTTCGCCACAGCCACATCATCGGTTAAAATTGGAACGATACAGAGAAGGGTAATTAGCAAATGGCCCCTGCGCGAGGTTGACATGCATAAATTAAGAAATGGTCCAAATTAAAAAAAAAAAAAAAAAAAAGTGGTCCCCTGTCAGATACATTGTCCGCATGACCACACGTAAAGCTGCATGGATGCACGTGGAAAAAAGAAAAAAAGAAAAAAGGCCTATATGCATGCACCCGGACGAGGATGGATGCTGGATGCACGTGAAAAAAAAAAAAAAAAAAAGACCTGCATGCATGCACCTGGACGAGGATGGATGCTGGAAGCACGTGGAAGAAAAAAAAAAAAAGACCTGCATGCATGCACCCGGACGAGGATGGATGCGCATGCTTTTTATGCTTGCTCGTGCGTCGGCTGCAGGCAAGTTTATGCGCGTTCAGGATTGTTCCATCCATTTCCTTTTCTTCCTTTTTTTTCTTTCTTTTTTCCTTTTTTTCCCCCTTTTTTTTTTCTCTTTTCTTTGGTTTTAAAAAAATGATGTTCATAGTTGCGTGGGCGAAGATATTCGTTTGCCGAGAGTTAAAAATCGGGACCGTTTCAATATTTATGCGTGTCATCCTCCCGCACGCACGGGCCATGCTTATCGTTTTTTTTTCCTTATTTGTTCTTCTATTTTTTCCCCTCTCCTTCGTACGTACAAGCGGCACAAGCTCTCTCTCTCTCTCTCTCACACACACACACACACAGAGTCTCTCTCTCTCTCTCTCACACAGAGTCTCTCTCTCTATCTCTCACACAGAGTCTCTCTCTCTCTCTCTCTCTCTCTCTCTCTCTCTCTCTCTCTCTCTCTCTCTCTCTC